GCTCTTTGTTGTTTCTTGATGTGGGCCTGTGTTCCTGTATATTTCTGTCTTAGTACTCTTTTTGCTGGGTGCCATATGTTCTGGTAGGTTGTGTCTTTGTTTTATTATCTCCAGGTTTTTAAAATTGTTTTCCTTGATTTTTTTCACTAACCCGATAGTCACTTAATATTATATCATTGAATCTCCAGATATTAGAATTTTTTCTTGCTTTCTTTTTTTGCGCTTGATTTCTCTTTTCATATCATTATGATCAGAGAATATACTTGAATTTATCAACACTTGTGTTGTGGCTCAGAATGTGGTCTGTCCTGAAGAATATTCCATGTGCCTTTGAGAAGAATGTGTAGTCAGCCTCTTTTGGGTATAATGCCCTATAAATACATACTAAGCCCACGTAATCTAATTCCTTATTTAAGGCTATTGTTTCTTCATTGATTTTCTGTCTGGTTGATCTTTCCATGGGTGAATGTGGGTGTTCAAGTCCCCTACTTTCATTGTGTTGCTGCAGTATCATCAGATTTTATAATAGTTGTGTTATTTATGCTCCTTTGTTTATTGCATATATATTGATGTTTTATATATTTCTGATGTATTGGTGCATTAATTAACATGTCCATCCTGTCTCTTATTACCTTCTTCAGCTGGAAGTTTATTTTATCTGATAGAGGTATGGCTGCCCCATCTCTGTTGGGATCCCATCTGCTTGTAGGATTTTTTCCACCCATGTTTTTTGAGCCTTTGTTTATTTATTTATTTATTTATTTTTTTGAGCCTTTGTTTATTTTTGAAGCTTAGATTGAACTCTTGATAAGAGGAGGAAGTTGGGTTTTCTTTTCCGATTAACTGATCACTCAGTGCCTTTTGATTGGTAAGTCAAATTTATTTCCATTTAGGGTAATTATTGATATATGAGGATTTGTTACTGCCATTTTGCCTTAAGTTTTATAGTTCTATCTATTGCCTCATTCAATTTTTTATGGATGTTTTATTCAATTTAGATACGAGAGCTCTTTTCAACATTCTTTTAGGGGAGGTATGGAGTTTGCAACTTCATTCAGCTTCTGTTTGTCTGGGAAGGTCTTTATTTCTCCCTTATACATGAAAGAGAGTCTTGGAGAAAATAATATTCTTGGCTGGCAATTTTCACCATTAAGTATTTTAAACACATCATTTCATTCTCTCCATGCCTATATGGTTTACTAGAAGAAATCTGCCACAAGTCTGATATGAGTGTCTTTATAGGTTACATGCTTTTCCCCATTAGGTACTTTCAATGCTCTTATTTATCTTGAACTCTTAGGAGCTACATAAATCTCTCGCTTATAAGCCTCATTTCATTTAGATAACCAGGTATTCTCTTACCTTCATGAACTTGTATGTTTATTTCCTACCCCATGTTTGGGAAATGCTCTTTATTATTCTTTTTAATAAGATCTCTGTTCCTCCCTCTCTTTCTTCCCATTCTGGGGACACACATTATCTTATATTTTGCCTTTTCTCATGGAGTCAGACAGTTTTCAAAGTATTTCTTCATTTTTTACTTCTCCATGTGTCTCTCTCCACCCAGCTTATTCATTGAAGCATGAATCACCTTTATTTCCCTTCTATTAGTGTGATTGTTACCTGATGCCTGAAACGTGTTCCAGTTTTGCTCCAAAATATGGGGCTTTCTCTGTGAAGTACACAACTGGCTAACCTGGGGAGCAAAGCAAGGAACTTCCTTTGTCACCACCTTTGATCACACAATACATATCATTCCTCCTTCAGGGCACCCATGACAGCTCAGTTCACAGTGCTCTCTTGAAACTCTTATGCCTATTCACCCACTTCATCTCTCACTAAATCTGCCTTTCTCTGAACTTTTGATTCTTAAATGATCTTATCTATGATTAATGGGAGCCTCTTTGAGTTAGTTCTTATGTCCTTTGACATGACACTAGTAGGCTTTGCTAATTCTTAGCTGGAAATATATTTATATATCTTATGAGAAAAATGTATTGTTTATATTTCTAATTCAAATTAAAGATCACAGGGTTTGAAATTTGCTTTTATACTATTATTTTTCTTATTCTGAATGTTTTAGTTATTAATTTCATCAGCAGTTATTTGATCTCTCCATTCATCACCTTCCTCTCTCTTTATCCATCTATCATCTATCTACTCTATCACCATCTATCCAAATAATGTAATTACTGCTATCACCAAGCCCACTGAATAGTTTAAATTTCTTTGTGTTGTCTACTCCATCATCCCTTAGGATGTATACTTAAAATACTGTTTTAGAGTCACTTATTCTCCACATATTTATGCCAACAACTCATAATATGGTTATGTTAATGGTTTGTTTTCACACTTTAGAGACTGCTTTTGGTTCCAAGTCAAATCTGTATTTGAACAAGGCACATTTGAACAAGTTTAATTTTCACCCTTCAGGCCTGCCTTTTCCTTTCCCAACAAGCTTAAATGTTTCTGAATACCACCCCCTTTCTTACACTAAATGCAGATATTATACATACTTTTATGTGTAGGCTGTATTCACTTAATATTATGGAGATTAGAACAATAGATAGCGTCTCAATTCCATTTAACAACAACATAACAATGGTTGTATCATAGTTTATCTTACCTGTCATGTATTATATTTGTCATATCTCAACTGCACCTTATAAAACATTAATATAATACCAAGTCTGAAGTTACTATTTTGGGTGGTCCCACACATCATCTAGGGATTTGGTGTTGGATTACTAAACAAATTATTTTTTTCATAATATGTGAATACTTGCTACTTATAAAAATTCTTTTAAAAATATAGAAGTTAAATTTCTCTTACATTTCTACCAATGCATCAATCTCTCTTCCCAATATAACCAGTTAACCAATTTAATATGGTATACTCCTCAAACTTTGATGATGTGCATAAATATATATGCAATCAGCATAGGGTTTTGTTTTGGTTTCTACAAATAATATTACTTTTCTGTGACTTGATTTTTAAATGTTTTGAAGATATATTATAGATGTATCATACTTTTTTAGCAGCTGCATAGCATTCTAAAGAATGCATGCATAAACATTTTAAGCCTTCTTATAATGAACATTTCCAAAATTACAAAACAATGCTATAGTGAACATCTATGTTTTTTTGTGTGCAAATTTTTCCACATGCCACATTTTTAAAAGTAGAACTGTTTAGTTAAAGTGTATCTGTATCTAAACTTTAGATAGTACTGCCAACTTGCCCTTCAGAAAATCTAAAACAAACTTAACTTGTACACATAATGCATGAGTGCCTCTACCACTACACTCTCACCACTCTGGATATTACTGGTCTTTTAGATTCTTCCAACTTGAGCAAAATATATCTCCTAGCTTGGTGCTGATTTCCTGGTTGTTATAATGCCTATTACTTTGGTATATTAAAATGTGATCTAGATTAAATTCTGGGAAAATTATTTTACCCTTTTAAAATAAGAGAAAAATTCTGTATTGATGATATGAGAATAATAATATCTAATAGGTATTAGAAATCGGAATAGAAAATTAAGAGCTATTTCACCTTTTCAAGGTCTACAAACAAATCCTCTGGTGAATTGGTAGTCTTGCTTTTTTTTTCTCCACACATGAAAATCCTGACTAGAACAACTGCTTCTAGGTCAATAAGTGTCCATTTCTAAAGATTGTTTCTTTCAGGGATCAACTGTCTCACTGATAGGCGGATTTACATATGCAAGTTCTATTAACAGTAACAGAAACTTCCAGCATAAATGTCCCTGATGTCACAGGTGAAAAGACCCTACAGTCTGCTAGGATCCAAGTTTATGATTACATGTCAAATGGTGCTTGCTACAAGTCGTCACCACCAGAAAGACCAGATATGGCAACTTGTGTGGTAAGGGCATCTCATTGCAGCCCCACAGCTAAACTGTAGTAATGGAAAGAACAGTGGCATTCAAAATGTGACCCAGGATGCTAAGCATTAAACCATTTAACTGGTATTTTTGTTTAAAAGCCACGATTAGAGAAGAATTCAAACATATGAAAGCATTTGTTTTTTTTTAAGTGTGACTTCTGATATAGAAGCTCCAAGGTGTTTGAAGGATAATATAAGAACTTGCTTTAAAATTCAATTAACCTTATCGTTCTTAAAGATTTATGAATAATCTCATAGATAAATTGTGCTTTAAAAGAATCCTGTTATTTTTTGAATGTGTCTTGTCTAAGGAGCTTTAGAAATGACTTGAAATTGGCAGAAAATATCATTCTACTTTAATCATTGGATTCAAGAAAAAAATCAGTTTAATGAATTATTTTTCAATGAATTATTTCTGCATAAAAGATTATCAAGAATCTTTTGTCGTAAGCTTCTCGAGACTCAAACATCACAGAGAAAAACAGTTCAGTTTCTCGCTGATTTTGAGTTTTACTTTATTAAGTCTTTTTCCTGGTCCCTTATTTAGGTTTTCTAAATTCCTGCTGTGTAAAAATGAAAAATGATGTAAAAAATATATAAAAATAAATTCTGAATATTAAAAAAAATTCAGGTTCTCACTCAAGTAAACATGAAAAAATTATAGATCTTAATACAGTGATATGTGAAAATTGTACTGCAGAGCCATACATAGCACATTCCTCACAGCACTGATTCCAGTAAGGCCTGATGCCAGCATCTAGAACAATTTGCTAAGTAAATCATACCTGTGTATCATTTTTCACTGCCTTTCGAAAAAAACCCGACAGTGAACAGATGCCTAGAAACAAAACATCAATAGATTGATGTGTACAAATAAATCCGTTCTAAGAGAAATTTTTAATTTCTTAGCATAAATGCAAAATGCTAATGATAATGAAATAGGATACCACATTTGAAAGGCATTGAACAGACTTTTATTTCCACTGAAAACTTATTGTAACTGTGCAAAATATGAATAATCATATATTCATGTTTTCTGAACTATATAAAATTAATCTAGAGATTAATATTCAATACAATAGCAGTTAATAACTTATTTATAAGAATATTATTTAATTCCTGTTTTAAAGGGTGACTACTATTTAGGAATCAAGTTTCAACAATTTTTTTGAGGTCATTAGAACTTTAGACAAAGGGCTGCCTTCCCAGAAATTATGGTTGCCACAGAAGTTAACCATTAGCATGGTCATTATTTTAGACAATGGTCTGCTAATCTCAGAAACTACTGTTCTAGAAGTTAACCATTAATGTGGCCAGTTTACTATGAGCAACTAAATATCATAAAAGGTGGGGAATTTCTTTAACTCTGTTGACCTATGGAAGTATTTGTACGTGTGAATTTTTTGGGGGAGGTGGGGAGGCACACCAGCTAGAAAAAAATATAGTAGCAACATATGGTTAGTAACTGGTTTTCATATTGTTTACTAAACTCAATGGTGTTACCATTTTTGGTTAATTAGAAGCATACATAACTAAACATTTTAAATACATGAAATAAAATTCTTTGATAATATCAATTTTCAAAATTTTAAATTAGCTACAGAAATCTCTGCATCATGTACAACATATTAACTTTATTCATAAGACCATGGGCCCATAGTTTTAAAACAAAACTGAAAGATTTTTCTTTTGACATAAAACTAAGAAAAACTATTTGTGATAATTATGATAGCAGAAAAGAAAGTTCTTAGAATAATTTCTATTATATTCTGAGACAATAGGAAATAGCTAGTTATCTAACACAAAGTTTTAACAGTTGTGTAATATCTTAATCATCACTTATCATATTTAGGAGCTTTTACACATTTGAACAATACTTAATAACCTGAAAGAGATTCTGACATAGGCTAATGGATTAAATAGGGTATATTATGAACTGGGCCATCAGACCACATATATTTCCTCTTCATTGTTCTACATATAGATAGTTCCAGTAAGGCTATCAGAATTTTTCTAGTTTTATTCTGGGGTTACTCTGATTGGCTGTTCACATAAATATGCATGCTGCATTCAAGTGGTATTAACTCTAAGACTATAAACAAAGTACAAGATCTTAATTGGTGCAACTTCCTGCAATTTTATTCAGTCTAAAAACTCTCATATAGGGAAAACTTTTACACTGCTGGTATTGAGAGGCAGGGCCAATCCCCAGTGCTTATATGTAAGTCTTGTGCATTTAGCATTGCCATAGTTGAGTTTTAGGAAGCATAATTTGACTTAAGAATTCATTTAACAAAGTAGATTATAATGTGATTCTATTGTCCCTGATTTGTACATTATTTAAAAAGGTGAAAAGAGGGAGAGAGGACTAAAGAGATAGGGTAGGGACTGTACAATAGGTGGAAGGGTTAGTAGTAGCTTGAAAGCCCGGAAAGGTGTTTTTTTTTTTTTTTTTTAAATCTAGTTTCAGCAATATCAGTAGGGATGTGGAAAGGTGAAGCAAGCACAACATTCCTTCATTCTTTCCATTTCCCCATGAGTGTGTGAGTTGATAGAGCTAGCTTCCTTTCAGATCTTTTTGGAAACCTGTAGGTCAGATTCCAGATGCGGCTGAAATGTGTAAGAATTATGTGCTTTCTACTGATCTGAAACATAGGCCATACTGCATGATTAATACACTTTTAATATATTTATTTATTGAAGTAAGTTCATAAGGTTGTTGAAAATGATAAACCAAGAGAGCACAGCATTTGGAAAAATTTTAATATAGGCACTGTCACTGCTTTAAATTTGCTGCCTATGTAAAGCCCTAACATTTTAATGTTAACTCCATATTAGGGCTTACCAAATGTCATATCAGTCCTTGGTGGTTTGAGTTTTACCTTCCTGAAAAGGAATATGAAGATTCATTGTGTTTTCTCTATTAAGATTTCAAAACTATAATTCCATAATTCTATGTTTACTGATCTTTAAGACTATAAAAAATAATTTAGGAAACATGTTTTCATTTTAAAAGCATTATATGATAAAAACAATGTGATATGTTTAGTTGGGGGAGTTATGGAACATTATTTGTTGTGTGAGATTTTTGATATTCATTCCCAAGTCAATGGCAAAATTCTGAAACTTTTCTTGAGAAAAAACACTGAGGATGGCACTGCATTTATCTTCAAAATCAATCTCATACAGTAGGCAAGATATTCCTATTTCCATCTTACATATGGAAAAACTGAGGCCCAAAAGCTAAACAACTAGTTTGATATCAGCAGCATAGCCAGGACTCAATAAGGTCCATACACAATTAAGCTAGTGCTTGGATTACTTGACTAGACAGAACTGCCAAATACAGACGAGGCTATGCAAATTTTTCCATTCTTACATTTCTTCATTATTGAGCTTTCCTAGTATGTAAATAATTGACATACAAATATTACTACTAACTTACAAAAAAACTGAATGGATTCATGATTTGTTATAGAATTGTCTAGACACTTCAATAGGATTATTTTCAATACTTCTCAAGATAGAAAACAAACCTCTATTCCAAACATAGATTCTGTATGGATAACAATACTTTAGTCTATTTTCTCAACTACATTTATGTATGCTTTTTATCATTTGTCATTATGCTGCTACCTACAAAGAAAATATAATTCAAATGATCAAAGGAATTATGTGAATCAAGTCTGAAGGTGTGGCTTTCAAGATCCAAAGTAGCAAGCAAAAGTCTTAAACCCACAGAATATTATAAAATGTATATGATTTCATATCAATGCTAGATATGAAAATGATTTTATACACGAATTCATATGAAAATGATTTCACTTTCATATCTAGCTACATTACTGGGAATCAATTCATTTATAATTTTTATCTGCTAATTCCACAGGTTTGGTATCTTAAAGCAGACAAGTTAATGTGCTTTACAAGTATTTGTGTTCTTAGAATGTCCTCTTAAATAAAAATCCCCTTTTGGATTTCTATGATATTTTTTCTCTCAGTAATTTCGCATGTCAACTGGCTATTGCTTTCTAATAATTTTCAAAAAGTTCTTCCTTCAAGAAGAGTATGAAACTAGGAGGAATTTCCAAAGTGGGGTGTCCAATTTGGTGCATATCCATTATTCTGAAGGCTCTTCTGGGTTTTCTAGATTTGCACTTTCCTTAGGAGGCTCCGGGCTAGCCTCTGGTATGGCACTAAATTCTGAAGCTTCTGGATGTAAACTGTCTCCATCAAGAATAATGTCTTCAGGATTTGGTGGGGGTGGACAGAAGTCTTCATTGGGACAGATTTGCTGGAAAAGCATTTCAGCCTGGTCAGGAAAGAAAGGACACACAGGTTTTGAACATCAACTTAAAAATGTATGTGCTCTTTCTGGCACTACTTAAAAAATGAAGTATTAGTCTTAAACATTTTTTGTTATAAAACTTTATTCAGCATGTATTATGACCTTCTAAAAAAACTGCTTTCAGAATTCCAAGTCTTCTCTCCCTCTAATTCTGTACATGTATTCAGGTTTACCCTTCATGTATTTCAGTATGTGATCAGATTCTTTATCAAGCGTTCAGAGTTGATAAATTAAGAATAGTTATTCTAGGGCCTCCCCAGTGGCGCAGTGGTTGAGCGCTGGGTTGCGAAGCTGCCTGCAGCCTCTGCAGCGCCGGTTCGATCCCCAGCTGCTCCCCCCACCACCGGAGGAGGGTCCCGCATGGCGCGCAGACCTCTCCTGCCGCCCGCTGCTCCCCTCAGCAGTGTACTTCGGTCCTTCTGCCTGCTCTGCTCCCCGCTCTGGCTCTGGTGAATTCTCTCACCCTCTCGCGCTTCTGACTGTACCCAGTGCTTGTATAAATAAATCTTAAAAAAAAAAAAACTTATAAAAAAAAAAAAAAAAGAAGAGTAACTGCCAGAGAGCAGGACAGTGGTTAAAAAAAAAAAAATATTCTATATGTCAACAGAAAAATGGTTTCCCTTAATATTATCTACATCATTTGCCATAAGAGTCTATTTGTGATATACAGTTTAACTTGACATATGATAATATCAGCAACTCATTGTTCAAAGCAAGAAGTCTTCATTGTTTGCTCAACTATTTGCTTTTCTGTATAACTTTCCTTCTCTGGGCTTTCAGTGTTTAAGATCATATACTCTGAATAAAAAGTCACACCACTTAGCAATGATATGATCTGGGGAATGCTTACTCAACTTCTGAGCCTTGCTTTCCTGGTCTATAAAATGACACAGAGTAAGCCTCGATAGATAGATGGGAGCTGTTACTACTAATAAAATAACTTAAAATGCCAAGACTTAAGCTAAGCTTAGTCTGTCACCGTAAGAGAATAAGAAGGTAAATGGCAAGTAGCATTGCTATTCTATTCTAAACATATTCCTACTTTTTATCTAGACAAAGATACTTTTTATCTAGATGAATTCATTGTTAGATAAGGGTCCCTGCCATTCTAGGGAGTTCACACTCTATCCTTTTAGTCAAATAAAGGCATTAAAGGGTTTTAAGACATATGTTTACTTTAAAGGCTATAATGTCTTTCTGTACTGCTTCAACCTTCCTAATGCACACATAAAGTGACCCATTAGGTCAGAAGTTGACAACTATGGTACACAGCTAAAATCTACCTGTTACCTATTTTTGTAAACAAAGTTTTATTGGAACATACTCCTCTCATTTCTTTAACTGTTGTCTATGGCTGTTTTTACACTGCGATGACAGAGTTTTATTGTAATACAGACCATGTAGGCTGCAAAATCTAAAAATATTTATCTACTGCATTAGACACCTGCAGTATTCTTTGCAAGTAGGTGGAGGGGTAGTAAACAAATTTTGAGCTTTGATATGAAACTGAAAGGAGGGACAGGGAAAGGGAAAACAGTATCCCTCTTAAGTAGAGTTCAAGGGTATATTTCTGGACATGCCATTTACTATGATACATTTGTTGTATCTGGAGACATGTAGCCTCTAGAAGCAGGACTGAGATCAGACTGATCCTCTACCTCATACTTCAATTTCTCTAACGGCTATTTTATCCTTTAGCTCTATCTCTTCTGTTTTCAGCAGTTCTCCCTCCCCTTTACTCAATGTTTGTAATCAATCACCAAATCCTGTCAATTTTATCTCCAATTTTATTTAGTTCCTGACTCTATCGTTTCCTTCCTTGCTGACACAGACCAGGCATCTTGCCTGTACACGACTGCAACATCTCAGAACTGGACTAGTCACCTTGCTTCTAGGGTTCCCCCATTTAATCCATCTCCATGCTACCCTCAGAGGGGTCCATAGAATAGATGCTCAGACAGCATTTGATAAGATTCAGCATTCATTTATGATGAAAAACCTCAAAAAGATGAGGATAAATGGAACCTATCTTAACATAAGTCATATATGACAAACCCACAATAGCAGCATTCTGATTTGTGAAAAACTGAAAGCCTTACCACTAAGATTCTGTACAACGCACGGAGGTCCACTCTCTCACAACTATTCAACATAGTATAGAAAGTCCTCACGAGAGCAATTAGGCTAGAAGTTGTTATAGATGGAATCCAAAATTGGGAAAGGAGAAGTAAATCTATCATTAAATGCAGATGATATAAAAATATACAGAAAGAACTCTAAAAACTCCATGGAAAACTAATTAAAACAATAAACCAATTCAACAAATTGGCAGGTTGCAAAAGCAATACATAAAAATAGTTGCTTTCATTATATGCAAACAACAAGCTAGAAAAGGAAAAAATTAAGAAAACCACCCCATTTACAATCACACCGAAAGAAAATTTAAGTACCTAGGAGTAAACCTAACAAAGGAAGTGAAGGACCTATACTAGGAAAACTATAAAACATTGTTATAGGAAACAAAAGCAGACACAAAGAATTGGAAAGATATCTACTGCCCATGGATTGGAGGAATCAACATTGTCAAAATGGCCATCCTAACCACGATGATTTATAAATTCAATGGAATCCCAATTAAAAAATCATTAAAAATCTCAATGGCATTCTTCAAAGAAATGGAACAAACATGGAATCACATGGAATTCACATGGAATCAAATTGGACCCTCAACAGCCAAAGCTGTATTGACAAATAAAGGAGAAAGATGGGGGCATTACACTTCCATATTTCAAAGTACACTGTAAAGCCATAATAATTAAAACATCATGGTATTAGAACAAAAACAGACCAATGGCATAGAATTAAAGACCCAGAAATAAACCCACATGTATATGGACAGCTAATCTACAACGAAAGCATGAAAAATATACAATGGAAAGAATGACTCTTTGGTAAATGGATGAAGAAAATTAGAATGCTACATGCAAAAGAATTAAACTAGACCACTATTTCACACATACAGAAAAAATAAGTCAAAATGGATAAAAATACTTGGATGTAAGACCTGAAATCATAAAATACACAGAAGAAAGCAGGCAGAGCACTCCAAGACATAAACTTGAGAGAGATATTTAGATTCACCCCAGCAACCAGGAAAATAAAATATAGACAATTGGGACTACATAAAACTTCTGTTTGTGAAAACAAACCAAAAAAGATTCTGCACAGTGAAAGAGACTGTAACTGAAACAAAGAGACATCCCATTGAATTAGAAAAAAATATTTTCACACCATATATCTGACAAAGGACTGATATCCAAGATCTACAAATACCTCATACAACTCAACAAAAAGAAAACAAAAAGTCCAATCAAGAATGGGCAGAAGAGCTAAAAGGGCATTTCTTAAAAGCAGACATACAGATGGCCAGTAAGCACAATAAAAAAAGTTTTTTATCACTTATCATTAGGGAACTGCAAATCAAAGTGCAATGAGATTAACACCTCACATCAGTGAGAATTGCCTATATTAAAAAGACCAGAAGCAACAAGTGCTAGTGAGGGAATGGGAACAAAGGAATCCTCTTACATGGTTGGTGGAAATGTTCACTGGTCTGATGGAAAGCAGTATAGAGGTTTCTCAAAAGACTAAAGATGGATCTGCCATAATACCCAGTAATTCCACTCCTAGGAATCTACCCTAATAATACAAAAACAGGAAACCTGCACCCCTATATTTACAGCAGCACTATTTACAATAGCCGTGATATGTAAACAACCAAAATGCCCAAAACAGACAAATGGATCATGATATGGTATATATACACAATGGAATATTACTCAGATATTTAAAAAGATAAACTCATTCCATTTGCAACAACATGGATGAAGTTGAAATAGTTTACACTAAGTGAAATAAGCCAATAGGAGAAAGATAAATACTGGATGGTATCACTTAAATGTGGAATATAGAGAAACCAAACAAAGGGTCGCACAAAGATAAACTTTAAAATCAACCCTTGAAAACTGACCATAGATATCTGGCTTTTAGAGGGGGAGAGAGGAAGAGAGGGGTAAAAGCAGGGTGCTTGGGGGAGAGAACACAATGGACTATGGTGGAAGACTATGGGTATTTCATTGGTGGGAGCGCTACAGTGACTACACCTGAGGGGGGGAGGTACTATACTGTCAAAACACTAGCAAGCAAAAGACAGTAACCAAAACAAAGAGACACCCCACCGATTGGGAGAAAATTTTTGCACACAACACTAATGATAAGGGACTGATCACAAAAAGCTACAAAGAGCTGATGAGATTCAACAAAAACAAGTAAATAATCCAGTCAAAAATGGGCAGAAGAGCAAAAAAGAAACTTCTCTGAAGAGGAATGCAAATGGCCAACAGTCATATGAAAAAATGTTCAACATCATTTGTAATCAGGGAAATGCAAATCAAAACCACAATGAGATACCATCGTACACCAGTGAGAATGGCACACATTGAAAAAACTAGCAACAACAAATGTGGGTGAGGATGTGGAGAAAAAGGAACTCTTCTGTACTGCTGGTGGGAGTGTAAACTGGTCCAACCACTATGGAGAGCTGTGTGGAGGTTTCTGGACCGACTAAACATAGAGCTTCCATATGATCCAGCAATTCCACTCCTAGGTATTTACCCAAAGGACACAGAAACATTAATTCAAAAGGCACCTGCACCCCTATGTTTACAGCAGCACTATTAACTATAGCTAAGCTACGGAAACAACCCAAATGCCCAAAAATAGATGACTGGATCAAGAAGATGTGGTACATGTACACCATGGAATATTACTCAGCAATCAAAAAAGATAAACTCATGCAATTTGCAGCAATATGGATGGAGCTGGGAGGGATCATGCTCAGCAAAATAAGCTAGAAAGAAAAAGAAAAGTACCGGATGGTCTCACTCATAGCAGGAATTTAGAAAACCTAAATAAGGGACCAGGAAAAAGACTAATTATAATAAAGTAAAAATCAAAATCAATAAGCAACTATAAACCAGATACACACTACAGGGTAGTGTGTTAAAACAGGAGTAGGATCAAAACAAGGGGGGTGGGAATTGTATGGGGACTATAAGCAAGATGAAAAAGCATACATTGTGCAAAAATGAAAAATGATGTAAAAATATGTAAAATAAAAAAAAACACTAGCAAGGATGTAAAATAATGGTACTTTAACAGCAATAAATTGGTTAAAAAAGAAAATGATAAAATTATTCTTTAATTACAATCTTCTAACTTGTACTTTAGACCACTTTAGCTTTGTATAATAAGCCCTCATTTCAAAGGTTCCCATTTTGGTTAAAAAAAAAAAAAAATTAAATACCTCTAAATCACATACCATGCTGTAAACCAATGTTGATCTCAATGAACAGAATTAAGAGGAAAAAACAAGCCCATGTTTAAAAAATTAAAATTCATTTAGGAATAAAAATGATCTCAGTTACTTGGCTCAAAACTTGTTGGCAATTTCTGCCTGGAAAAAACTGGAAGATCAAAGCAAAAGTGATTTGGTAATTTTAAGTTATAAATGTAGATCTTGAACCATGTTATTAGGTCCCTCTTAAAGTAATAGAAAGAAAGATGGATGAGAGGGGTGCTTTCCTATTTTTGTTTGTGATCACTAGCTGAATATTATTACCAGGATCACCATTAGAATCTGAAGATGAGAATCAAAGAATATGGCAAAAAACTATACATATATGGGTCATGGCCTTACTGCTATGACTAAAAATTAAAGGCTCAAGAAGACCATTTTCTGTTATAAAAGCCCTGACACTAATTGGAATGAAATTTCCATCTGTGGTCTTAAAACAATGTGAAATTATCCATTTATTGATTCAAGACAGAGATGTGCCTACTGACTCTGTGATAAGTTTAGACTTGTGTATCAAAGAATGGTATTGTCTGTTTTTCATTTCCTGGCAAGTGCAGGGAACTTTATTTGTATATGCATATGAATCTTTAGTTTAAAAGAATCATAGTTCACTTTTGGCACTTGTGTCAATCTGCTTTGTTATCTCTTCTACCCTGCTTAGGAGTCCTGCCACAAATTCTACCTCAATTTAACATACTTCTCCCTCAACAGTTACATTAATTCTTGGGAAAATAGCTTATGTCAAAACATTAAAGGAATCATGTTAACTGTGGACAATTAGAGTTACATATTCTTTTCCAAGATAAGAAAATGCCTTAAAGGTAATTTAAAAATTATAGTTTCTGTATTTCAATAGTATACTTACAGGTCAACAGTTTAAAACAGAAGTAATGTTTCTTCAGGATACTGGCATCATAACACATTTTTCTGAATATATCTAACACCTTCCATTTTTATTCTCACAATGGGAGACATAAATGATCTCGTTATTCATCATATTCAAGTATGTGAAAATACCTGATAGTATATTCTTTAAAGATTTATTTATGTATACAAGAACTGGGGTATAGGCCAGAGGTGTGGGGGGATGAGAGGATTCACCAGAGTGGGGAACAAAACAGGCAGAATGACTGAATGCACTGCTGAGGGGAGCAGTGGACGAGTCAGGATAAGTCTGCTGCACCATGCGGGTAGCTCCCTGGATGGGGATTGAACTTGTGCTGCAGGAGCTGCCGACAGCTTCATAGGTTGCATCTCAACCCCTTGGGCCACCAGGGAGGCCCTGATAGTATATTTAAAGTACATTTGAAGTAGTGCTGTAATTCATTAAAAAATATGCTTGGGGCAAATTGTAGAGATGGTATTAAATTAGATAAATGTTTTTCTTCTAGTCTCTTTTCCCACCTCCCTGAGGAAAAGCTAATTCACTTTCCTACCACACTGACTCCTTTTTTTTTTTTTTAAAGATTTATTTATTTATTTATTTATACAAGCACTGGGTACAGTCAGAAGCGCGAGAGGGTGAGAGAATTCACCAGAGCCAGAGCGGGGAGCAGGCAGAAGGACCGAAGTACACTGCTGAGGGGAGCAGCGGGCGGCAGGAGAGGTCTGCGCGCCATGTGGGACCCTCCACCGGTGGCCGGGGAGCAGCCGGGGATCGAACTGGCGCTGCAGAGGCTATGGGCAGCTTCGCAACCCAGCGCTGAACCGCTGCGCCACTGGGGAGGCCCCCCACTGACTTCCTAACAGAAAAGCAAGAAACAAAATAACCTTACCTGTTTGACTGCATTGTCATTTCCTAAACCACAGTCTGGACCAGAGCAGACGTAAACATTGGGTGGTAAATCACTGTAAGAGTTCCTGCTGACGGCTGAAGAATCTCTCATATTGAAGTAAAGAGCCCACAGAAGCCTTGGCTTTTCAACTTCTTTGTTTTCTAAATGTAGACATAAATTTTACTTACATCCAAAGCATAATATGCCTATCAATTACAATAATGTATAGCTGATTACTAATATTTTATTATATATTGTAATAAATCAGAGTTCTGTATTAATTCATAAGTCTGCATTCATATACTTTAACATATGTGTATATGGCAAGCAATTATGATTTTTCAAACTAAGTTAGATTTTAACAATTATTCTAATTATTAGTAAATTAACTAGGTTTAACTCCAATTTTGTTCGCTTGCATTTTTATTTCTCCTCAACAGTATCAAGGGGTTTATGATAATATTCATCCAAAATTATGCCTATGAAGTGATAAGGTAATATAAGTTGATTTTCTTATGTTTCACAAGGACAAACTAACTTGGTAAATTATATTGTAAGCCAGTACTATATACAGGATTATGAGATATTCAGATAGGCAAATCCATAGAGACAAGAAGTAGGCTAAATGGTTACCTGGGGCTGAAGGATTTGGGGTAAGTGGGGAATGACTGTTAATGGGTAGGGGTTTATTTTGGGGGTAATAGAAATGTTCTAAAATTGACTGTGGTGATGTTTGAACAATTTTGTAACTATTTAAAAACCACAGAAATTTATACTTTAAATGGGTGAATTTCATGGAAATATGAGTTATAGCACAATAAAGCAATTATTAAACATAGTATAACAGGATCTAAACTTCAATATCTAAACTCACTAATGCTTTTATCTGCTGGATTACAAAACGAATGGCAATCAATACACAAACAAAAATAAAGTTGCAAAAATTAAAGTCATTTTGAGCACAATTCTCTCATTTAATAATGAGATGAAATATAGTTCTTACTCTTTTGCATATTTATATTCCCAAATACAAGTCTTAGTACATACCAGAGACTTGATGAGTAACTTTGGTTTTAATTGGTTTTAATCTTGAATTTCAGGTATAATCAGAGTATGGTGTACTTATTAAAAGGTCCAACTTTATTAACCTCAATACCGTAAGTCTATTCCTCGCTATCTTGACAATTATTCCTTTGCTTCTCTTCCTTAGGAAGGTATAATTAAAGTTTATTTGGTTGAAAACAGAAAATATTGCTGTCAATATATTTATTGACTACAGGTTTTCTTTGAATCGAAACAAAAATTCAAATTTTCTACAATGATGATGATAATAGATAAGAATGAAGATTACCCAAGACCATGTGGCACTTGTGAACCATAGAAAATACCAAAGGAATAATTATCTAACTAGCTCTTATTGCTTAATTGGTAATCAATGTAGACAAGTTCTCAATGTACACAAAAATAACTGCAATATTTAACTAATATAGTACCTCAGTCCACAATTTAGATTAGCATTTTACTATATTTAAAATATCTCCACTACAAGAACATCAGATGTATTATTTTTGTAGTCCATCCTGAATATTCCATAATTATTAGTGCAATAGGACTCAAGAAACTCTAAAAGGAAGAAGTGATCCGTTAAAAAGCCCCTTTTTAAATGCAACAATTTATGCATCTAAGACATCATTAATTTCATGTAAGTACACAATAGGTAGCAAAACCCATTTACTGGCAAAATAACAGAACAGAAGGAACGAATTTCACAACTAAAACCATGTGGCTGTGAGTTTAGTTTCACTATATTTTACAAGATTAAACAGTCTGTGACTTGTGACACAAAATTCCAGGAACACTGCAAAAAAATAGGCTAAGGTTGGAAGTCTTTTAATATTGCCTAGTTCATTACTATGAACTTCATGAAAGTTCCTACTCAAAGGAGGGCTTTCACTTAATAAAAGTTGGGGAAAATGAATAATCCAGTAGATTAAAGGAAATAAATTTCATAGAGGTTGAAGCTTTGAAAGGAAACTATGAAGAAGATGAAAAGTTGATATAGGCTAAAGATAAATGCTTAGATACAAGGGAGTTATCAGGCTTTGACCTTAAAACCCTCAAAGAGGAATAATTGCTTCATTTTCTTTGAGGTCAGCTGAAGGCAGAGAGATAGCTGGAGAAATAACATGCAGTTGTGAAGTGCACAACAGTCAAAAAAATACTAAAGCTGACAAGATTTGGCTAGATTTAATACATCACCTGGCAAGAGTAGAATTGGTTTTCTGTAAGAGTGTATTTCATTCAATTAGATGGTATGAAGGATTAAACAAGTAACAGATAATTTAGAATAAAATCTTGGGCAAATTAAACTGGGATAAATATAGAATTAGGTAGGCAGAAGAAAATCAACAATGGCATACCAAATAAAAGAAAGCTATGGTCTACAATTGCATCCCATGTTTAGGGAGAGAATAAACTATTTTAATAACACTTAACAGAGAAGTATACTAAGAGAGGGGACTATTGCAGCCATGACTGAGAGTCTGGATACAACAAATACAAAAACAATTAAGATAAGGCATTTGACTCTCAGTTCAACAATTACTTAAGCCCTTACCAGCCACCAACTTAAAAATAGCATGCATAAAGGGAATTTATGTTTTAGGCTGTGCTGCTTTTGAGATAGGAAATTAATGAGATGAAATAATTCTATATGCCATGCAGAATGGAAGAAAAAAGAGAAAGATGGTATAGTGATAATACAACATTGTACACATTTCAAGATATAGCACTAATGAAATTCTTCCTTCAGTTTGTAGTGAAAATATCAATTTCCTGAGTGAAATAAGAAAAGCCTCTTAGGAGAGTTCTACCAGTGAGACAAGAACATACTGCTTGCTTAGTGCTTTAAAGGTTATTTTGGAGTCTGGAAGAATTAATGCACATAAGGTGGTAGCAATATCCTCATTTTCTCACTTGCAGAATCAGGCTTACTATGCATAAAACATCAGAAATTTGTTTGGAGTGGGAAGAATAGAAGGGTTTAGATACCTCTGATGTTCTTAAAGGAAGTCGGGAGGTAGGATTCTTGGAAGTGTTAGTTCAACTATCTCTGGAGACAAAGCATTTGTAAATAGCTCCAGGTAATGCCTTAAACATGAAAAATTAAGAAAAAGAGGGAATACCTTCATAACCCTACCAGAATTTCTCAGATACCTTTGGAAAGAAATGCTGCATTTGAGAAGACAGCATTATCTTTTATACCAAATTTTCTTGCAAAGTTACTTTGATAAAGGCTTATAAAGCACAACATCCCACAGAACATAGAATCCCCCCACCCCCCAAAAAAATCAGCCCAAGTAATGTTTATCTTTTGGTACATGTTTTAGAACAAAATATCTACAATGCTCTAAAGCATACATTTCTTATTGTTGCCAAACAATTAAAACACAATAAAAGCCCTCAATATGTGAAAATAGGGGCTTTTGCTCAGCTAAGAATGTGTTTTAACATATTAAAAGTTGATATCACTCATAAAGTTCCTTCTTCAGTTAGGCAGGAAAATGAATTGAGTACTCTTCTCCAGGTGACTTTGCCTCTTTGACCTGCTATGGCCCAGTGCTCACTTTATCTGGTGATTCATTTTCAATAACTCCAACAGTATTTGTTCTGACATTTTAATTAAAATATGACCAGTACCTCATCCTGATGATAAAAAGGCCTATGTGTCATTGAAAACTAGCTTTTCAGTGCCTCAGTGCACCTGAGGACCCCTCTGAGCACATAGTTCTTACTAAAGAATTTCAGTCAGGTTTTAAACAATACATCATTTCAAAATGGGATCACTTTAACCATTAAGATTAATGTTTAAAAATCTAAAATGGCTAGAGGATGCTAAGTAATGAATGTGTAATTCATTACTAGTTTGATTTTTTAAAAAGGATATTAAACGCATTTTAAAAAGTGAAGCGTAATGAAACAAGATTCAAATTTAGTGTATCATCTGGGATTAACACAAATAACAACAAGTTTATTAAAGAATTCTGAAATTCAGTGTTTTAACAAGCAAGGTATTTAAAGACAAGGATAAAATCATGATACTACCTTAGGTCTAGAGATATTATCATGTACCAACCAAATTTTGCAATCAGTTTCTAGCAATAATCCAAATATTTTTGAGACTTCAATGAAGAAAATGTAAATATGAAATAAGTTTCAAACTGAAGTGAAGTAAACTTTCAGATCATAGGATTTTATTCAAATAGCTAATATTAGCTCTTCAGGAGAGTGATTTGTTTTCTTATACTAGTAACAAATATTCAAAATAAATGGCACTCTACGTACTATCTCTGCTTTAAGAAAATGAACAAGACACATAAGAGATGAACTAAAAGGAAAACAATAGGTTGGGAGTAATGAAAGGGTCTGCCTGAGCAAATGTACCATTCGAAGAATATGTATATTTATCAATGAGGAAATAAATCACAATTGAAATGGACATGCAAATCCTATAAAAAATCACTCTTATTTCATAAAAATGAAGATATAGCAGGCTAATTTTTTATCATTAGTACACAAAATACACTATAATTTGCTCCATTCACTGTTCTAAGACATACCCTATATTGTGGGGAGAAAATACATGTTTAAAAAGCACTTTCTGTACTGAATAAATAGTGGCATATGTATCTGGAGAAATATCACATTAGCATGCATTGAAAGAGACTCATTAGCTATGAAGGATTCACACACTTGTCAATATTTGAAACTCTCAATTGAACTAATTTTTTTCTTAAATGAAGATAACTTTTTCTTATGAAAGAATGATATGCTCTTTGTACAATACCTGAATAATAAAGAAACTTAAAAGAAAGATCTCCCATAATTCTATCAAAATTGAGATATTTCCTGATATATGTGCTTGTGTACTTTTGCATTTACATGTTATATATATTTTTCCTTTACCATATTTGAGTAAATAATTTCTCCTATTTAGGAAGAGAATGCATTCAATCACTGAGGTAACACACGTAAGTACTGTTGTTTAATACATCACGTTTCAGTTCAGGTTGCAGTAATCTTCATGAGATATCTTAGAGGAGCAAAATGGTGGTTACATTACCTTTCCATGAATCGCTGATTTATTGTTCTTACCTATTTCCATTTCAGTATAAGGAATAAACAATTTCTGCACAACTGGTTCTAAATCTTTTCTTGCTGTTTTAGAAGACGTACAAGTCAAATGAACCAAATCTGTTTAAGAAAAACAGTATTTTGAGCTTCTGCTTTTCACAAATTCACTGTGTGTGCATATAAATTCACTGTGCATGCATATTCAAGGCAATATCTGTTTAAGAAAAACAATATGTTGAGTTTCTGCTTTTTACAAATTCACTGTGTATGCATATTCAAGGCAATATACTGATGCCAGGGGAATAGAGAGCTGAGCAAGTCATAGTTCCTGCTTTCATGGAGTTTGTAATCCAGTGATAGGGGACATTAAGTCTCATATGTGTTAACCAAATAGTTAAAATATGTGCTAATAACTAAGTGAGAGAATACTGAGACTGCAGAAGAGGCTCATTTTGTGGAACTAACAGAGTAAAAAAGCCTAGGAAACCATTTAGTCATAGAAAGAGCTTAATTTATCCTTATAACATTCCCAGAGAGAGTAAATAACGGTTTGTTAAACAAAATACTTATGTCAAAAATACTGAAAGTGGAGTATGTACTTACCTAAGAACACACTTCACAGATTACAGACAGAAGAATCCATTCATACAAATATTACTGTTAACAACAAATCACCTAGACTTTATAAAATCTTTTGGGGGTACACTGTTAGCATTTAGAATTCTTACAGGCTGACACACATTGGTAAAGAAAGGAGAACAAGTTCTATGCACTGAAAGAAAGGACTTCTCTAAATGGGAGAAATTCTCATGGTACTGGAAAAGGCTTGGGGTGGGACTGAATAATGACATAAAGACTATACCAGAGAACAAGGCAAGTACTGAGAAATTCCTTCCCCTGAAACACCAGCAGAGGATATACCAATCTCTATTCCAGAAGTTTAATTCAGACTATTGGACCTTTTTTCACTTCTTTTTAAAAAAAGATTGATTTATTTATTTATGCATACAAAAGCTGGGGTATAGGCAAAGGTGTGTGTGTGGGGGGGGGGGCAAGAGGATCCACCAGAGACAGAGTGGGGAGTAGAACAGGCGGATTGACCAAAATACACTGCTGAGGGAGCAGTGGGCGAGACAGGAGAGCAGACCTTTTTTCATTTCTAACTCAAGAAGATAATTCAAATTTTATGATGAAAGTCAACACAAGAAAAGGCTTCTCATTATTCAAATTCATTCCACATAGGATCAAGGGGGCATCAGAGGGTTCTTGCTTTGCTCCTGGGAGAATAATCTAAAAATAAACCAGACTGGAGTACATCCAGAGGGTCCATGACTTGGGGCTGAACTGGAGCATCTCTTAGACATCAGTGATAAGCATGCACTCTACCAGAAGGGACATTGAAGAGATTCATGATTCATTAGAGAGAAATGTCTGGAGGCTGTGATCTGGAATGAAGAGGCTGAAACATAAACCATAGCACTATTTGGCAAACATAAGCCATTAGGAGGAGAGAGCTGAACTGTGTGGAGGCACACACCCTTGTAAGGAAAAATATATGTAGAGGAGTTGAGATGATCCTGGTGGATTAGGTCCCCAGTGAAAAGTCCAAGGACAGTACTGTATGTTGCACACACTCCTGCCCCCAGGAGTAGTACTGAACTTGTGAAGCCTGCACTGAAAGCATACAGACTCAAGAGTCTGGACCCCTAAACAGAAGGGATATTGAAGGTACCACAAACATGAGCCAGCTACCCATCCCAGCAGCACATTTTAAAAAATGACTGAATTCCTCCAGCTCCAAGGCCCACTCCCTGAGAATGCAACAAGATCAACTCTCCTGACATAAGCAAATAAAACCACATAGCCAACTGCTAGAAAAGTAGAAGTAATGAAATTCTTTAAATTACTGCGACAAACATGTTTAACAAGTTAGGGAAACCTGAAGCAGCAAAATGGGCAGACAGAACTCAAGAGAATATGACATCACAAGGAAATAACAGTTCTCCAGAATAGTACCACAAAGACATGGAGATTTTACTTTACTATTACAGTGTTCAAAATCACCATGATAAAAAATGCAAAGAAATGGAAGAAAATGCCGAAAAGAAAGTCAAATTTATACAAGTGAACATTGAAAAGCCAAAGATTGAACAATATTCAGAAAAACGTTATGAGTCATACAACTGATGAAAAGAAAATAGAAAATGGAGATTTAAATAAGAAAATAAGGGAGTTGCAGGATTTAAAAAGATCAATACAGGGGCCTCCCCGGTGGCGCAGCCGTTGAGCGCTGGGTTGCGAAGCTGCCCGCGGCCTCTGCGGCGCCAGTTCGATCCCCAGATGCTCCCCGGCCACTGGAGGAGGGTCCCGCATGGTGCGCAGACCTCTCCTGCCGCCCGCTGCTCCTCTCAGCAGTGTACTTCAGTCCTTCTGCCTGCTCTGCTCCCCGCTCTGGCTCTGGTGAATTCTCTCACCCTCTCGCGCTTCTGACTGTACCCCGTGCATGTACAAACAAACAAGTAAATAAATAAAAATACATGCCTCTTTAAAAAAAAAAAATAAAAAAAAAAAAATTAAAAAAAATAAAAAGATCAATACAGCTTTCCATAGTGGTTGGACAAGCTTGCATTGCACCAGCACTGTAGGAGAGTTCCTTTTTCTCTACATCCTTGCCGACAGACAATGTGGTGTGTGTATATATGTGTGTGTGTGTATGTGTGTGTGTATACTTTTTTGATTGCTTAAAAGTATTCCATTGTATATATATATACAACTGAGAAACAGAAAATAGAAATTGGAGATTTAAATAAGAAAATAAGGGAGTTGCAGGATTTAAAAAGATCAATACAGTTTTCCATAGTTGTTGGACCAGCTGGCATTACACCAGCAGTGTAGGAAAATTCCTTTTTCTCCATATCCTCACAGACAGATGATGTGTGTGTGTATGTATATAATACCTATCCTTCAAATTCTTTAGAAAAATTGAAGAGAGACTGCATCCAAACACATTTTATGAAGCTAACCTTACTCTGATATCAAAAGCAGACAAGCACATCACCAAAAATAAAAAAAAAGAATTATAACCAATATCACTGATGAACATAGATGCAAATTACCTCAAGAAAAATCTTAGCACATTGAATTCAACAATACCGTAACATGATTATCCATCATGACCAAGAGATTTATGATTTATTATAGGGACACAGGAAGATCAGACACAAAACCCAAATTAATGTAACTTATATTAAAGATAAAATTCAAGTGTTTATATTAATAAGATGCTGAGAAAATACATAAGATTCAACATGTATTTATGATAAAAACCCTCAAAAATACAGGGATAGAAAACATAACACATATGAAAATCTAATAAAGGCCTCATATGACAAACTCACAGATAATATCATACTCATTTGGGGAAAACTGAAAGCTCTCCTCTAAGATCTGGTACAAAACAAGGATGTCCACTTCTATCATTACTATACAACATAGTATTGCAAGGCCTAGAAAAAGCACCTAGACAAAAGAAAGGCATGAAAGTATCCAAATTGAGAAAGAAGTAAAACTATGACTATTTGCAGATGACATACAGAAAACAATAAATACTACACTAAAAGCATTAATTCAGTATAGTAGTGTGGCAGGTTACAATATCAACCCATAAAAATCAGTAGCATTTCTATATGCAAACAATGAACAAGAGAAAGAAATCAAGAAAACAATTTCCTTTACTACTGCATCAAAAATAAATACCTATGAGTAAACTTAACAACAAAGGAGGTGAAGAGCCTATACAATGAAAACTATAAAACATTATTAAATAGAGGAAGGATCAAAGAAATGGAAAGATATGCCCTGTTCCTGGACTGGAAGAACAAACGTTGTTAAAAGGCTCAAAGCAATATATAGATTCCATGCAATGAAATATATAGATTCCATGAGATGTATATGAGTCAATGGCATTCATCAAACAAATAGAACAAACATTACTGAAATTCATATGGAAACCACAGAAGACCATGAATAGCCAAAAGAATTCTGATCAGCACCCTGAAAAAAAAGGAAAAGTGGCAGGATTACATGCCTAGACTTCAAACTATACTATAAAGCTATAGTAATCAAAACAGTATGGCATGTGGACAAAAAAAGACATATAGATGAATTGGACTAGAATTAGAGTCTAGAAATAACCCTGGCCATCTATGCAAAGTTAATCTAAGACAAAGGAGCCAAGAGTATACACTGAAAAAAGCAGAGCATCTTCAATGAATGATGCTGGGAAAACTGGATAGCCACATGCCAAAATATGCAACTAGATCACTCTCTCACACCATACAGAAAAACTAACTCAAAAATGGATTAAAACATGGATATAATATGTGATACCAAAATGTACACAGAAGAAAATATAGGCCAAATACTCCAATATTGGCTTCTATGAAATCTTTGGGAACTTGATTCCAATAGCAAGGAAAACAAAAGGAAAAATAATCAAGTGGGATTATTACAAACTCAAAAGTTTCTGCAGTAAAAGAAACCATCATTAAAATGAAAAGACACTGTGCTGAATGGGAGACAATATTTGTATATCAGATATCTTCTAAGACCTAAAACAGCTGTGTTTTAGCTGGGATTACATCAAAAAAGCCTCTGTACAGCAAAAGAGACCCTAACGAAAACAAAGAGACACCCTACTGATTGGGAAAACATTTTTACACTCCATAGAACTGATAAGGGACTGATCACAAAGATCTACAAAGAGCTGGCACAACTCAACAAAAACAAAGTAAACAATTCACTCATAAAATGGCAGAAGAGCTAAAAAAACACTTATTCAAAGAGGAAATGCAAATGGCCAAGAGGTATATGAAAAAATGTTCAACATCATGTATAATCAGGGAAATGCAAATCAAAACCACAATGAGATACCACCTTATTCTAGTAAGAATGGCACATATCAAAAAAAAAAAAAAAAAAAAAACTAGCAACAACAAATGTTGGTGAGGATGTGGTGAAAAAGGAACTCTCTTACATTGCTGGTGGGAGTGCAAACTGGTCTAACCATTATAGAAAGCTGTCTGGAGGTTCTTCAGTCTACTAAAAATGGAGCTACCATA